GGAGCAAAGATATAGTGGTAAATGTGTAAAAAACGGGAGAAATTATTTCATCTTTGAAGCCTTCCGTTGCGTGCGCCGTGAAAACGGTTCAAGATGCACCATAAAATATGTATTAAAGAATAATAGCTCTTTTAATGATCTAAAAAACAGTCCGCGACAGTATATGTCTCTCTTTTAAGATTAACTCACAAAAACCGTTTTTATGGTACCTAACTTGGTCGAAATAATTTGTTTAAGTTGTATCAACATAATAATATTAATCTTTATTCAAATAAACAAATAAATATGTTGTTGGTTAAGAGTACTTCACTGTGAATAAAAAAAACATAGGCTTTATCCTGAAAATTCTACGAGAACTCGACCATTCCGAAAACCCCGCAAGAACGGGAACTATGTGGGAAGAACCAAAAATCTGCCGGAAGTCACTATTCCACGCGGACGGAGTCGCGGCAAAAGCTAGTCTACTATAAATTGTCTAACTTCTGAATCTAATTGTTCTGTCGTTTTCAGCGGAACTTTTAATTCTATTCTGTTATCTAGGTCTAATCTAAGACTATCCCAATCTGTGTACTTGTTAACTAAGATTGGTCGTTTCTCATAACGCAGCATTCGTCTACATAATGTTAATAGTATAGGAGAATGATCCGAGTTCATATAGTTAAAGTCTTCTATATTAATCTCATTACTTGGTATGTTTTTGCAGATAAAGAAGTCTATCAAGTCTGGGATTCTGTCTGGATCTGTAGGCCAGTAGGTTGGTTTCCCTGTAGACACAGATTCACAGTGTAACTCTTGTATGGCTTTCAGTAATTGCCCTCCTTTAGTATTATTCAGTCTCGATCCCCAGTAAGTATGCTTGGCGTTAAAATCACCTCCTACTATGAATCTTTGTCCATGTTGCCTTAGAAAACTTACATATTCTTCTTTTGAGATACTGTATCTAGGTGGACAATATACAGCCGCTATTGTAAGAGGCAGTGGCGGCTGTACCTTAAGTGCACTCGTGCGCTGAACCACCAATTCAAAATATTTAAAAATTACAAAATATTATGTCATCTTAATTTTTAAATTACCATTTTAATATTTATTTTTTAAACATACAAAAAGGTATAAAAAATTTAATTTCCAATTATGGTCAAAAAGTTTGAGCGCTTTACTAAACTCATATCGTGCGCTCCGGCGAGTGCACGAGGACTGCTAATACTTCTTGTATGAGACACGCATCAATACGCCTGGCGCGTGAGACAAAAGATAGTTCATAGAAATGTACCGAGTAACGAGTCGGGTCTCGAGCGCCGCACGAAGCGGCCGAAGATTACCGAGAGCACCCCATGTATGACGTATTGAGCCGGCCGGCAAGGGGCCGGCCGAAAGGATGGGTGCTATGATTGACATTTCGTTAATCGTTATTGGTATTGTTTCAACTTTCACTGTATGCGTGACGCGTTAATTCGTTATTGTTTATAATTATTTCCGTAATTCGTTATAGTTTTTATTTCGTTTCTATAATAGAACTTTTATTCTGTACTGTGTTTTTTTTAGTTGAAAATGAGTATAAATATTGATTATATTAAAGAAAATAACAAAATTTTTCAAAGTAAAGTGAACATAAAATTGGCCGGGCTGCCACGGCCCTTTTTAAATTTAAAACAAGAGTGTAAATCGAAAAATAAAGCATTTATACGAAGTTTTAAAAGTGAAATGTATAATAGAAAGAAATGGTTGTGTGGATGTGAGCGTCTTAATACATTCTTTTGTTTTCCTTGCATTATTTTTGGCGGAGAATCGATTTGGACAGAAACTGGAATCAGATTTTAATAAAAAGGTGATAGAACATTTCGCTACAGAAAAATGTCGTCGCATTGATTTAATGTACAAAAAATAAACATATTTTATGTCAATTGTTGTTTTTGTCAATATTTTAGTAAAGTGAACCACCAGTTCGATAACCCACCAGCCGCCACTGGTAAGAGGGTAATGTTTACACTCTAGTCGTATTGCCACTGCTTGTATTTCTGGTTGTTCGTACTTGATTTCTTCATAGTGTTGAAGATTTTCTTTTACTATTATTGCACTGCCTCCATGTGCACTGTTTCCTGGGTGTAGTGCATGATAAACTTTATAACTTAGCATAACATTGTTTAGTGAAGTGAGTTTCTGATACAAGACATATATCAATATTTTCGATATTCAGGACTACTTGAAGTTCTTGTTGATGTTTAAGTAGTCCATTAGCATTCCATGCCATAATTTTTAGCGTGTTTTTCATTTTTTATCGGATTTTTTAGTGAAGGACTGTTTGGTTCCAATTTCCGGCCTTTGTAACCTGCCATCAAAAGATGACATTAATTTAAATATTTCATCCAACTTTACATCCAGATTGCTATGCGGTTGGTTTATGCTATTGTCACTTTTTGAGTAGTGTGTTTTAGCAGTTACTTGTGCATAGGTTTTCTCTCTCATATCTTGTGTTGATGGGCGTTTCGGTGCCACTTGTTCCAGATTATTCGCTAATGGTTTTTTAATGCTTTTATTTTTTAACTTTTGCATTTCCTTAGCTACTATACATCCTCTGTAATTAGCTGGATGTGCTTCTCCACAATGTACACATTTTGATTTTTCTTCTGCTGGTTTTTTGCAGTCTGGAGTGAGGTATTTTCCTGTACACTTGACGCGTCGTGGTTCCTTGGAACAATATTTGGGCGTGTGGCCATATGCTTGACACCTTTTGCACTGTGGTACTAATTTTGATGTTTTGATTGGCTGCACTTCGACTTTACATCCTAAGATAGCCTTTATAATAATAATAATTTATTTTTATCTCAGACATAGTCCATATTTAAATATTAGTAATACATGTCAACCTTATAACTAATGTTAGTAAAAGCAAATGATAATAATAATAATAATAAAATCGAACAAAACAAAACAGAGACAAACACAAAAGACAAAAATCGCTATTTTTAATTAGCGTGTAGCCGTACCCAGTGGCGCAGTATTTCAGAGTCCCAGCGGCCAGCCAGTGCACACAGAATGCTGTTCGAACTGGATCGCAACCTCTGAAGCGCAGATGCACTCCTCTTGCGAATAATAGCATAAAAGCTATCAACGTGCCTCTCAGCAAACATTTCGGAGGCGCTACAGTAGCGCGGCAATCCGAACAGCACTCTGAATGCATTGTTGTACTGAACTCGCAGAGCGCTGTACGCGCGCTGCGTATACTTAACCCAAAGGCTGCAGGTGTAAAAGGATTGGAAATATGCCTTGAACAAAGTTAATTTTACACTCTCAGTACACCGTGCAAACCTTCGGGCCAGCATGTTACAGCGCACGGCCAGCGCTCTGTGCTCTCGCTCCAAGTCCTCGTCATCGCTGAGGTTATCTGAAACCCAGTGACCCAGATACTTGAACTGTTCAACTCGTCTTAAAGCAATGCCACCAAGATATAAAGGTGGAAAATTAGCATAAACTTTCTTACCAGTTTTAAACCAGGAATTCACTTTTATTCGCGTTGTATCTCAGTCCATGGGCCTCAGCATACCTCTCACATATACTTAATAATTTTCGTAATGCGCCGATTGAGGGACTCATCAATACCATATCGTCAGCTAAACTGATGTTATTTACGCAGACGCCCCCCCGTGACAACCGATACCGCTATTACCCAAGCTCTGCAAGCAGCCCATTAATGTACAGGTTAAAGAGGCGAGGCGAGGTAAGGCCGCCTTGTCTCACACCGCAATCCAACCCATACATATCCGAGTGTTCGCCTGCCCATTTCACGACATTGCGTTGGTTGTGGTATCAATATTGCAAAACAGATGTAACTTCGAAGGGTACATCTGTCTCCTTCCTGAGTTTATTCCATAGTATATCATAGTCTATAGTATCAAAAGCCCTAGATAGATCCGAAAAACAGGTATATACAGGAGTTTTTCTAGCCGTATAGTACTGTACAGTCTGCTTGAGGTAAAGGAATGCGCTCTCTGTAGAAAGACCGGGTCTAAAGCCAAATTGAGAATCGTGAAGTTTAATATACCTCTCCAAAACTTAGGTGTTGTTAGGTGAAAAATCACACTCGACAACTAAAGGTAAGTGGTCAGACCAGTAAACATCGTACAAAACTGTTACACTACGAATCGAGCGCCTGGCCGCGTAGGTCGTTACACAGTGGTCGAGCCAGCGCCGACAGCCGTGCGAGTCACTCACAAATGTATAGCTATCCGGAGGAAGCATTTCTATGTCCACACACGACCACCTTTGTTCGACACAGAAGTTCAATAATTCATTTCCAAATAACTCACCCGGATGCGCATTAAAGTCACCAAGCACATATACAGACGTCGTTGCTTTCTATTAACGCATTTATTTCACTAAGGCACTCCGTATATTCGATTAGGTTTTCCGGTTTCGCGGTTGGCATATATACCGATATAACCATACTCACTCGACCCCCATGCACTATTTTAACGGCCGCCACACGAACATTAACACTTTTTATTACTGTTACGCACGGAAACAATGACTTTGTCCATAGCAGAGCCACTCCACCGTACGGCCTGCCTCTCAGGACTCCAACAGTCGTATCCACAGCAGAGGTACCGGTATAAGCAAAGCCATCGTTGATGGTACCTAGGCAGGACAGATCATGTGGCAGCAACCAGGTCTCCTGCAGCGCAACGATATCCGCCTTAAGGCAAAGCTGTCTGATACAGTCCGTGGATCTCATTACGTTCTTACGATTAAAACTAATCAATTTTATGGGTGTACTTTTATTCATTATGGTTTATTTATTTCTCGCTTGCCTTTGGACTCTTCGCCGCTTCGACCAAAACTAATAAAACGACGGAATGAGACTCCTTCCGGCCAGAAGTCGTCACACAAAAACGTTTCAAGTTTATACTGGGGCACAAAAATTATAAAAGCACAATACATTTTATCGTGTCTCATATTCCACTTAATTAAATTAACGTCGAGATTTGTTTTATTTTTAATATATTTTAAAATATCTTCCGCTGTTGTCTCCTTTGAGACATTGTAAATGTATATAGGAATACTAATATCCGCGCTTTAAAGTTGTTATCTGGCTGGACAACCGCTTTTCCTTTGTTTCTCATAAATCGATTTTTATATCTTTTCCTCTGAACCAGATTCCACTCACCCGTTTTCGCTACAGTTGCAAATGATTTCTTTGATTTAGTAGCAATTACTTGTGTATTAGAATCGCCGGTAAGTTCTAAAGTGTCGTTGTTTACAATACGTGTCGCCCTCGGTAACGATTTATCAGTGGATGGGCTGTGTGCGGGGCGCGGGACGGGCGGTGACCCCAGCTGATTCATATCAAGAGTAACGGTTTGCATACTGTCCGCTGATTCTTTGTTTCGTCGCTGTGTACATTTTGTGTCACTACCCTCACTACCCTTTATGCTATATATTTTGCTAATGTCCTCATCGTTTGAAAGGTTAACATGAACAGATTGAGAGGCTCTTTGTTCTTCCAGCTGAGTTTGTTTGCTGCGCTTATTGTTTTTAGGGAGTTGTTTTGTAGATATTCTACAATTCTCTCGGGTTTGCATGTATAGTGCAGATTTTTGACCATGACTCTAATAGGTCTTTCCTGCTTGTTTTCGTATGAGTGCCATTGATGGCATAACTGATATGAAGAAGTTCTGCAAAGCGGCCGGCATTAGTTTCGACTATAAGAAACTCGTTGAAGGTACGTATAAATAATACAAGATAAATATGATAATGACGTATAATGGCTAAAAGACTTGGACCTGTCCAGAACTAATTAACGAGTTAGATAGAGGCCCTCTAAACCTACACCTGGGTCGCAAGTCCCAGGCACTGTTGAAGCTCCTCTCCCTGGAATACATTGAACTATTAATTAATTTTATGTTAATATCACAGGATGCACAAAGAACAAGGAGCGTGTGGCTAAGATGTTGGATCTACTGACAGCTGCGGGTCTAGAAGGGAAGGCGACGTTGGAGAAATGTAAAGCGTTGAAATTTAAAGCCAAGCTAGACAAGAGAAAACAAGAGATCCTGGCTAAGAAAGAGGCACGCTCCAAACATAAATAAGAAGACGGTAATAATATATATATATATATTTATATTAATAATATGTAATTTGACACGGCGATTTTAATTAATAGTTACAAAATAATGATCTGAAAACATCAGTACAATGAAATTAACTACACACAGAGTCATAAACGTAAAATAGACTCAAAAATAATTAGTAAAACAATATGTGTAGATAAAATACTAGAGCGATTTTTCTATCGCACACTGATTCTATATTTTTTTCGAGATGTTCTTTACTATATATAATAACTAGAAGACCCGGCGAACTTCGTTTCGCCCTATAATCAAGAAATATCTGTTACGTTTTTTTATTTATATTTTTGGAGTTTACCTATTAAAGCCATAAATCTCCGTGTTTTGAAGTGATTAGGAATGATTAATAGTTAATATGAGAGTTACACTGAGCTAGCAAAATAATAATTGTCAACGTTACTACTACACTTGATGCACAAACAATAACGATGGCCGACAACTGTGTAGGGAGTGAGAGAAGTCTAATTGTGTGAGAGAAACAGAAGACCGGCTTCGTTCTCATCCCTACTCCGTGCTGTTTACTGGGTCAGAAGTGACACCTGTAGATATCTGGCGGGGATAACTTATTAAATGACGATTGATCAGTTATCGACCGGAGATGAAAAATGATTAAATTACTAAAATAGCTATTAAAAAATAAGGGTTGATCGTAGAAGGGTGAAAATTTAGGATTGTATGTATTTTTGTACGTTGTATCATAAAAAAATAGTAATTAAAAATTTTGTCTAAAAAATAAAAAAAATAAATTTAGGGGTGGACTACCCCTAACATTTAGGGGGATGAAAAATAGATGTTGGCCGATTCTCATAGCTACCGAATAAGCACAAAAAATTTCATCAAAATCGGTCAGGTTGTTTCGGAGGAGTATGGGCACGAAAACTGTGACACGAGAATTTTATATATTAGATAATAAAGCCCTGATTACTCCAAGACATAGGTTACAGTTAAAAAAATACATTAAGCTAACAAACAAACACTAAAGTTAAATATGTCATGGCCCCTTTCGCGTATAGGCGTCCACCAGTTGCCTTTTTATATTGTTACCATTTCTTCTGACTTAACTGCCAGTTCAATAATGTCATATTTAATGTTATCTAAAGAGTATTGTAGCAGTAGCGTTCTTTGCTATGGTGATAGGTATTTTACATTGTATGTATTAATGTAAAGGTTTTGTTTGTTGGCTTGTTAAAGTGTTATAGTTTAGAGCCGCCACGGTAACTTTAATTGCGATTTTGAGAGGATTATATTCACTTTATATAAATATATTACTAGCTGCGCCCCGCGGATTTCCGGGATGTACAGTAGCCTATGTGTTATTCAAAATTCTGTTCAGCCGTTTGAGCGTGAAGAAGTAACAAACATACATACACACTCACAAACTTTCGCAATTGTAATATTAGTAGGATAATTGTATGTTATCGTTCCAGAGGTGGAGAGTGAGTCTTCAGCTCGCCGCATGACGCGAGGCGCGACGGGCGTCAAGCCTAGGCAGCGTATAGTGATATTTTCAGACGAGGAGGACGGCACCCCGGCCGCGTCTGTTCAGTGTAACAGTCAAACGGTACTTATTTCCCGGTTTGATTCCCATTTGTTAAAATATATTTATAAAGTTTACAGTATATATCTGACTTGAACTATATTTGATACTATCAAAGTATAAAATTAATGATATTATGTTGATATAGTCATGTAAATAATTAACTATATATATGTATACATATAAAGTGATTAGGGCGCGGGTTCAAACCTGGCAAGTACCAATGTGATTTTTCGGAGTCACATGTACTTTCTGAGAGTATTTAGACATCACTGACATATGGTGAGGGAAAACATCGTGGGGAAACCTGGACTTATAGTTTCACAATTATAATTTTGAAATCGCCAACCCGTCTTGAGCAAGCGTGGTGATTAATGCTCAAACCTTCTCCATGTGAGAAAGAGGCCTTTGCTCAGAAGTGGGCGCTGATAGGCTGATGACGATGTATATATGATGTTATATATATAGATAACATTATTGTAAAACATTATTAACAAATTACAGTGATTGTATCAGATAGCTCATGAATAGTGTTTATTCCCAGGATATGCCATCAAAGCGTGGTCCAGGACTGCCGAAAGGCTCCAAGAACGCGTCACCCCGCACTCTCGGGAGCGGGAGTGGTCGCCGGGGCAGGCCGCCGGTCCCGCCGGAACTACGCAAGCCTGGCATAACTGATATGAAGAAGTTCTGCAAAGCGGCCGGCATTAGTTTCGACTTTAAGAAACTCGTTTAATTGGCCTCATTTGTGAATAGGCGTCTTCTTGGCGAATTTGAAATTCCCTATTCAGTATATAAGACTCAAGAATGTCAGCAAATGGTCGCGGTAGCATTAATTTGAGCTTGTTTATGAGTCCTTCATGCCAAACTTTATCAAAGGCTTGAGCTACATAGGTGCGCAACTAAGTTTCCGGGTTTTTTTGATCAATAAAAAATATAAAATTTCAAGATACATACAAAAAATGGTTTATTCAAAGTATCTCCCTTCGCTAGCTACACATTTTTGCCATCTCTCTTGCAATACATGGATACCGCGACGATAAAAGGTCTCGTCTTTGGACTGAAACCATTCATCTACCCAATTTTGCACTTCCTCGTAATTATGTAGTTAAGTGTAGCCCAGACAAGCCATGCGCCATCGAACGGAATAAGTGATAATCGCTAGGGGCAAGGTCCGGGGAATAAGGCGGGTGCGGTAGCAGATCCCATTTCAGCGTTTTGATGGTGTCCTGGACAATTTTACTGCGATGGCACGGGGCGTTGTCGTGTTGCAATATCACTCGTTCATGTTTTGTGTTCCATTCTGGCCGTTTTTCGAGCAAGGCATGGTTCAAATTGATTAATTGCTGTCGGTAGCGATGCCCATCGACAGTTTCACCCAGTTTCAGCAGCTCGTAGTACAGGATACCTTTTTGATCCCACCAAACGCAAAGCATTGTCTTCTTTCCAAAGCGGTTTGGCCGTGCCGTCGATGTTGATGCTTCGCCAGGGGAAACCCACGATTTTCTGCGTTTGGGATTCTCGAAATGTATCCACTTCTCATCGCCAGTAATAATCCGATGGAGGAAACTCTTTCTTTCATACCGAAAAAGCAAAATTTCGGAAGTGGTTTTTCGATTTTCCATCTGTCTCTCAGTCAACTCATGCGGCACCCATTTTCCTTCCTTTAAAATTTTTCCCATAGCATGTAAACGTTTGGAAATACCCTGGCGAGTCACGTTTAATGCCTCCACAAGTTGGTCTTGTGTCTGTGTGTCATCTTCATCCAATAAGGCTTGCAGATCGGCGTCCTCAATTGTTTTTGGTCTACCGGAGCGCTTCTTGTCTTCGATGTCGAAATCACCACTCCTGAAGCGTTTAAACCACTCTTCACAGGTAGTTTTTGATGGTGCGTGTTCGCCGTAGGCCTCCTCAAGCAAACGACGTGCTTCAGCTGCATTTTTTTTTAAGTTGAAGTTGAAAAGTAAAACTTCCCGCAAATGCCGTTTATTTGGCACAAAACTCGACATCTTTCTTGTTAAAAAAAATATTTATACGCTGCGGAACCTATTGATATTACAACTGGTTATTGTTACTAGATGTCCAAGCTAGTAAAAAAATACGATTTTAGACATGTACGTCGACTACATTTATCGCTATCGGCATCTATGTGTAAAACCCGGGAACTTAGTTGCACACCTAGTACATCAAGGAATATTGTACAGCAAACCTTTTTTTCCCCCAGTGCTTTTTCTATAAAGTTGGTTATTCTATGTACCTGATCAATTGTTGAATGCCTTTCTCTAAAACCAAATTGATGGTCAGGAATAAGGTTACTGTTTTCAATAACTGGTTTTAGTCTTTTTAACAATAGTTTCTCGAATACTTTGGATATAACTGGTAGTAGAGAAATTGGTCTATATGAAGCTGGTTCATGTGGTGGTTTTCCAGGTTTTGGTATCATAATTATTTCAGCTACCTTCCATAAGTCGGGTATATACTTTAATCGAAAAGAAGCATTTATTAAAGTTGTCAGTTTAATAATCGCTTTACGATTAAAATTTTTCAAAATTTCACCGGTTATAAGGTCGTGGCCAGGTGATTTTTTTGAATTGATATGGTTCTTAATCATATTTGAAACTTCTTTTGGTGTGACGAGCTTTATTTCTAAACTAGCTTTTGCCGCGACTGCGTCCGCGTGGAATAGTGACTTCCGGCAGAT